ACTGACTTTTAATTCAACAAATGATATTTGAGCATTGACTTTTGCTTTTAAATTACTGCATGCATTCTGTTCTTCGGAATAATTTTACAAGTCTTTGGGTATCTGATTGACGGAATATATAGCAGGGAGCACTTCCAGGTTGCTTCTTTATTTAAAAAAAAAAAAAAAACTCCTGGCAATTAAAAGTGTCAGTGTAGTTCAGCTTCTAAAGCAATATCTAATGACACATGAGAATGTCATCCAAAGCAATGTTTTATGACATGGCTAAGTGTCCTTAAAAGTCATATATTAAGACAACTCAAGATGCCTTCATAGAATTCGATATCATAATGTGATACTACAGCTATTCTGACACTTTCGATTATCAAGAAAAGGGATTTTTGTTGGCAGATGAAATGTTGTAACAATATAGTTTTCCTGACACATTTGAATACTGTTAGCCTATCCCTATATTGGAAAGGACGACATTCGTTCGAGATGTGAGGAAAGGTAAAGTGTCAGTTTAGATTATCTATACTAACACTTTTAAATGCCCTGAAAAGCCATTTTTGTTGTAGTGAAAACAAGGTAAGGTTACAAAATTGACAAAACAAATATTGAGTGTGTTTAGATTATTATTATTTGAAATATTATCTATAATAATCATTATAGCACTTTTTATATTGTCTTGCTTCTAATTGGAATAATTCATTGTGTTACTTCTTTTTGGATATTTTTTGCTGCCTTCAGATATGTACTAGCCTAGTTTAGCCATGGCAAAGATATTATGTTTAATTTCCTAAGGAGTTAGCTCTAATGAGAAGTTAGGTAACTTAGTTTCTCTCTACGGCTCCTGAATTGGTTTTTCATTTTTTTATTTTTATTACTCCCTCCGTCCCAAAATTTGGGTCGCTTTTTGGGAAACACACTTTTTATGTACAGTAGCATAATGGGACACACTTATCTGATTATTCCAATCGTGCCCTTTGTTGTCCGTGGAGTAAAATAACAAGCTGTTGGGTGTTGGGGACCACTTGCCATTAAGACATTTGACTAAAAGGCAAAGACAAGTTAAAGTAAAGCAAACATCCGTTTCCAACTCTAGCTATTCCTCTGTATGCTTGGGTTTCATAAAATCAACAAGATCAGTTACAGAAGATTGACAATGGAAAAAGGTAAGATTTCTACAATTCCGTCTATCACTTTGTTGGTGCTTTTTTTTTTATTTTCATTTTGTTTTATGATCTTTTGATCAATTTGAAGTAGATAATCTTGAGACTTAGCATAATTTAGCTAATCTTTTATTTGGCGCCATTTGTTGTTTTTCCCTTTTTTTCTTGAAATTTGGCGGTTCATTGAAAATTTGTAGATGCATTTTTTTAAGCTTTTTGTTTCTCACGTTTCTTATAAATAGATTTTGGAAGCTGATAATTCTGATGCCTTTATTCTCTATATAATGAGATTATAGAGAGATTCGTCTATTGCACAAATTCTGTTTGATAATATTCCCCAGTGAACATGGATAATCATAGTTTTCAAAATTATGAAATCTCTAGGAAAAAGTTGACAAATCAGCAAAGGCAAGCCATATTTGAAGCATTATTGCAATATAGTTATGGTGGACAACTAGAAAGAGGATTAACCAAAGTTATTGCAACACAGTTCAAAATCAGCACGAGGACAGTACAAAGAATTTGGGAAAGAGCAAAGTCTTCAATTATTAATGGAGGCTCGGTTGACATCTCTCGCAGGTTTCCTAAGAGGGCAGGACGCAAAAGGGTAGAGATAGACTTCAGCACTATCATGGAAATACCTCTACGGTGTCGAACAAATATTCGTTCTCTATCAACCAAAATGAAAGTTGCCAAGTCCACTCTTCATCGACGAATAAAAGAAGGTGTTATCAAAGCACATTCAAATGCATTAAAGCCTCACCTTACTGATGACAATAAATTGGTAAGACTCAAATTTTGTTTGTCAATGCTTCAACAAGAGAGTCTTAATGATGCACCTGTTTTCGAAAACATGTTCAATATGGTTCATATCGATGAAAAGTGGTTCTACATGACTAAGGAGTCTGAGAAATACTACCTACATCCTGAAGAAGAACACCCTATGAGGACTTGTAGGAGTAAAAAGTTTATTGTTAAGGTTATGTTTCTAGCTGCAGTTGCTCGACCTCGCTTTGATTGTTCTAGAAACAAGCACTTTGATGGGAAAATTGGAATATTTCCTTTTGCCTTCAAAGAACCAGCTAAAAGGAATAGCAAAAATCGTGTTGCTGGAACTCTATAAACAAAGCCTATCCTATCAGTGACCAAGGAAGTGTATAGAAGGTGCTTAATTGATAATGTTTTGCCTGCAATTCGTGCTAAATGGCCACAAAGTAATGTTATCAGCCCTATCTTCATCCAACAAGATAATGCAAAACCACATATTGATCCAATGGATGTTGAGTTCATAGAAGCTGCCACAAGAGAAGGTTTTGATATTCGTTTATCATTTCAACCACCTAATAGCCCTGATATGAATGTTCTTGATCTTGGGTATTTTAGAGCCATTCAATCACTCCAGCATCAAGAAGCACCTAACTCTATTGACGAACTAATTTCTGCTGTTGAAAAGTCTTTCGATGAATTATCATCTGAAAGTCTCAACAATGTGTTCTTAACCTTACAACTATGTATGCTTGAGGTGATGAAGAATTGTGGAGGGAATAATTACAAAGTTCCACATATTGGGAAGCAACGGTTGATAAGAGATGGAAATCTTCCTTTGCAAATTGGATGTGATAAGGAGCTTATTGACAAAATCATCCATTATCTGCAAGCATGAATGTACTGGTATTGGTTAGAATTTCCATATTATTTAAACTTTGCTAACTTCTAAATTATGATAAAGGTAGTGATAATGCTATCTAACTTATGATTGATTTCTTTTTCTCTATTTTGTTCTGAAGGTATATCAAGTCATGGATCAAGTTTCTGGACTTGGATTATGCTAACGCTTTTTGTGCAGAACAAGGGACTTGACTTTTGCTATTAATGCTTTTGTACAAAACAGGAGACTTGACTTTTGCTAGACTTTTGCTACTAATGCTTTTGTACAAAACAGGGGACTTGACTTTTGCTAGACTTTTGGTACTAATGCTTTTGTACGACTTGGCTTTTGCTAGACTTTGCTACTAATGCTTTTGTGCAAAACAGGGGGCTTGACTTTTGGTCCTAAGTTATTTTTGAGGGTTGCTTATAAGATTTGGTTGTCACTCGAATCTATTTTAGGGGCATAGATTTTGTATTTTGTTGATTTGTATAGACAACCATGAACTCTTGGAAGCAATGAGCAGTAAATGTTATTTTAGTCTTGGTGCTTTCAAATTAATGCCTTGCTTGGATGTTTAGGATTTCAACGTAATACGCACTAGTTGATCATTTTATTTTTTCTTTGATATTTTTTTCACTCTATTTATTTGTTAGTTTGATACTAGAGGCAAATTTAAGAGCAAGAACACAAGTTATAGGACAAATTTTACCTTTTCTTTTTTCACCTTTACATTAAAAAAATTAAATAGTGATAAACAAAAGGGTAAGGAATGCATCTAGCATTCTTTATTTGTTTATCCAAAAAAAAAACTTGATTTGTATTATTGTAAGAAATTTGTTCTTTTGTTAAAAAAAAAAAGATAGAAAGACAAGAAACGAAACTTTCATTGCATCTGCAAACACTTGTGTAGCTTGAAAAGAGTAAAGAAAAGAAAAAAATGAAAAACAAGGAAAAAAAAGAAAAAAGGAAAAAAAAAACAAAGATTTGAAGTGCAAGAAAAGAAATGGAAATGAAAAACACAAAAAAAAAGCAAGGAAAAAGAAGAAAAAAGAAATAACAAAGATTTGAAGTCCAAGAAAAGTAACGGAAATAAAAAGAAACGCAAGGAGCTAAATGTGTTATGGCAGGGCCCATCATAATTGTTTAGTGCAATTTTGACTTTTCAATAGAAGGGTATAATTGGAAAGTAATTTTAAAAGTAGTTTGACTTTTTTAAAGTGACTCAAATTTTGGGACAAGTAAAAAGTGGAAATATGACATTAACAATGGGACGGAGGGAGTATTTTTTTGGTGATTTCTTTCCCATCTCTATCATGCTCACCTATTTTCTTCTTAGCAAAAGTAATGTCTTGCGTACCAATCTTGGCGCCCTAAAATTTAGATGGGCCTTGTAGGATTTCCAAGCAAAACTCTTCCAAAGATATAGCTCTCGGTCTAGCTAAAATTTTCTTTTGGAAGGATGAATTCTTGCCTAAATTGGAACTTATACGTAGTTGATCATCTTGAGGGATTTCTTGGCTCCTAAAAATTTTCAAGTCAGGAGAATATTGTTTTTGTTTTTCAAATGCAAGCAAAATCAATTCAGAGATGCAAAATTAACTAGGGAATTAAACACAATAAGAAGCATTTGATCAATGTAACTATTTAATTGGAATACCTTACGAATAGCGCGCGTCTAAATAATTTGAGCTTTATAATCTTTACTTTGGACATGACTCGAAGTGGAAATGAGGTTTTCAGCTGCGTGCATGATGGTTCCAGTTGATAAAGTCCACAACAAAAAAAATTAGGGAGAATTGTAAGTTTGGTCCCCAATCTATAGTGTATGCGCGGAATTATCCCCAATCTATTTCGAAAATCAATTTTGGTCCCCAATCTATTCAATTTTGCACTAAAGTGGACAATTGACGGAATCTCTTCAATTTCAATCGTTACTAAGTCACGTGAGATCACGTGCCGGCACCTAAAACCCCTTTTTCAATTTTTTAATTTCTAAAACACGTTTTTTCTAGTGGCTTGGCTTTTGGCATGGACACTCCTGTCCCTTCAGCCAGATCAATCTCCTCCTCGCCAATTCTTTTCCAATCAAAACTCTGAATTAGAGATCCCAAGGCCAAACCCACCACCCGCTGTGCTAGGCCAGAACCAGGGTAAGATCTCCTTCCCATCCCAAATGAAATCAGCTTTGATGGCTGAACCTACAAGCCTTCGAATCTCTCTGGCTTGAAGCTTGTTGGATCATCCCAAACGTTTGGGTCCCTGTGAATTGCCCATGCATTAACTAGCAAAATTGTACCTCGCGGAATATTGTATCCCCCAATTTTACAGTCATCAGACAACTCATGTGGCACAGGCATTGGTGCTGCTGGGTACAACCAAAGTGTTTCTGAAATAATGTTATGAAGATAAGGAAGATTGGATAGATTATGTTCGTCGACCAATCGATCAATTCCTACTTGAGCATCCAATTTAGCTCGAGCTTTCTCTAGCATCTTGGGATGGTTGAGCAAAAGAGACAAGGCCCATTCTATAGTCATCGATGAAGTGTCTGTTCTAGCTGTAAGCATGACCTACCAATAATATACTAGTGGTTCAATTGAATGCTCATTCCAGTTCAACGGTGAAGAATGGCTAATAGGGAAAGAATATACTTACTAGTATAATCCCTTTAATGATTTGGTCCGTATAATCCCTTTGATTTCTAATTATTATCATCCGCTCTTCTCTCTCAGCTGCTTGCTTGCTTGCTTATGAAGTAGTACTGCTGCTGCTCCTGTTGTTTGTGCAGGAGAGTTGAACTGGGTCTGTCTCCGGTGTTGATTGCAGATTATCTCCATTACTAATGGAGGCAAGAACGAGACTTGGACTTGGAGGCCAAGCTGAGCTTCTTACTCGTGCTGTGGGTTCTAGGGATTTGAAGGCGGCGGCCAACAAGAGGAGTAATTTGGATTGTGAGATTACGCTTTTCAAGTCTTTGTTTAATAAGACAAAAGGCAAGAGAAAGCTGAAAATATTAAAAAACATGTTTTAGAAATTAAAAAATTGAAAAAGGGGTTTTAGGTGTCGGCACGTGATCTCACGTGACTTAATTCCGATTGAAATTGAAGAGATTCCGTCAGTTGTCCACTTTAGTGCAAAATTGAATAGATTGGGGACCAAAATTGATTTTCGAAATAGATTGGGGATAATTTCGCGCATACACTATAGATTGGGGACCAAAATTACAATTCTCCCAAAAAATTATTAAGAATTTTGATCGTAGAGAGTGAGAAAGCACATGGTTATACCTATATGAAGACACTGCTGAGGAATAAGAAGGCAGTGTTGTTTGGTTTAGGAAAGTGAAATACGATAATATATTAACCGGGTTAGGCCCTCTCCATTAATTGGGAAGAATTTTTTTGCCATCACACCAACTCGTCAACGTGACATGTAAATGGAAAACAGAGGATCAAATGTCACTTCTTTGTCACTCTCCTCTAAACTCTCCTTCTAGTCCTGGGGGGCTAGAAGTCGTCATTCTTCCTCACTCCTTCCTCCTCTTTTTAAAAGCCCAGGCCACGAGGCTTTCCCGTCGACCATCTCTAACATTCCCTTCCCCCACAAACGCAAAAACTGCCTTGGGCCATAAAACCATCTCTTGCTCGTCCTTTGTGGTATAATCACCCAGTATTTCTGTAGCATTATTGGCAAACCTATTGATGAACTAAGTTGCTAGTTTTTTTTTTGCGACATACGTTTTTGGGCTTTGTTTTTCTTTCTTCATTATGAGAATGTTCTAGACGAAAACAGAAGGCAAAAATAAACCGAATAGTAAACAAAAAGTTTGATTGGTATCTGTGAAGAAGAGGATGTTAATGGATCATGTGAGGACCTTTTTTTTGTTGGGAGGGGGGGGCTGCTAACACTTAATATTTTTAGTCATATCTCAAATATTGAGAAATGGCCAATTATGTTTGTATATCTTTATTTGTACTTTCAAACTTTTGTCAAATCATTTTTTTAATTGTCTAAAAGACAATTTATTATAACAAATGTACCTTTTTTTTAATTGTATCTTTCTTATAACAAAGCTATACAATCATAGTTTTTTCAGTGCATTTACATTGGTAGAATGCAAGTTTACAAATAATATCTGAATGGTTTAATGATAATAGGTTGGTGACGTTTGTTAGGTCTGGCCTAAGAAATTGACGAAAGAATTTTGGAAACTCCCAATAGACAAATAACAAAATAGAAATAAATAAAACAGACACAGAAATTTACCTGGTTCGGTTAAATTGACCTACGTCCATGGGTGGAGGAGGAGCAATATTTTACTATGAAGAAGAGAGTACAAAAATGCCTTAAGAAAGTGTTCCTACGCCCAAAATACCTAATACTTAAAATACAAGAGAGCCCAAAAATATTTAACTAAACAAAATGTTTAATGACCTGAAGGTTGAAATAGCCCACTAATGCTCTCTTGATTTCATGTACTTAACTTCATCACAGGCCCACTATATTTATCGACAACTAAGGGAAAGACTCCCTTATACAAAAGGCGATATGGGACAAAGTCACTTTAACAAATCTCCACCTTGGCGTGTCCCCAACATCGACAATGGCAAATCTGCTCCACCTTCTCCACATAAACCCTAATTGGCCAAAATCACTAACAACGAATACCAACCCAATTCAAGTATTGCTTGAACTTGTAAACTGTAAGAGGTTTCGTGAACATGTCAGTAGGATTCTCCTTGGTACTGATTTTCTGAACAAGAACTTTTCCCTCAGCAATAGTATCTCGAATGAAATGAAATTTCACATCAATGTGTTTCGTCCTCTCATGATACATCTGGTCTTTGGTCAAATGAATAGCACTTTGACTATCACAGTAAATAGTAGTAACACCTTGATGCAGATTAAGTTCGCCAAACAAACTCTTCAACCACAAGGTTTCTTTGATTGCCTCGGTCATGGCCATATATTCTGCCTACGTAGTAGATAAAGATACAACGGGTTGTAAAGTAACTTTTCAACTACTGCACAAACCGTCAATGTAGAATACGTAACCTGAAAGTGATTTTCTCCTGTCAAAATTTCCAGCATAGCTAAAGTCTACAAAATCAACCAAAGTGTCATTATTTCTCCCAAACTCCAAACAGCAGTTTGAAGTCCCTCGCAAGTATCTGAGAATCCACTTCACAGCCTGCCAATGTACTTTTCCAGAACAAGACATATATCTGCTAACCATATTGATTGCTCGTGCAATATCTGGACGAGTACAAACCATTGCATACATAATACTGGAATAAGGAATCCGTGCCATATACTCTTCCTCTTCAACTGACTGTGTCGACTAAGTAGCAGATAGTCGAAAATGACTAGCAAGAGCAGTAGTCATAGGTTTAGCATCTTTCATGTCAAATTTCTCCAAGACCTTCTCAAGGTAATTTTCTTGAGTCAAGAATAACTTTCCAGCTCCTTGGTCTCTTTTGATCTCCATGCCAAAAAAATTTTTTAGCTACTCCCAAATGTTTCATTTTAAATTCACTACTTAACTGCAATTTCAAAGTGTGAATTTCTGACAAATTCTTGGCAGCAATGAGTATGTCATCAACATAAAGTAGCAAATAAATGAAAGAACCATCATCTAACTGTCGCGCTCCATTTTTCGCGATGGGAAAAGAAAAAGGTGTTTATAAAAGATGTGATTTATTTAAAAATAAGTAAAAAAGGACCTAGAATGGGACTTTAAAGAATGCGATAATTTGGGTCCAAAATTTAGTTTAAAAGAATTTTTAAGAAAAAAGAGGAGTCGTCACTTGTATTGAGTTTGGGTGTACCAAGTCACCCCAAAAATATTTTTGACAAAAATAAAATAAAATAAAACTCTTTTCGACAACTCCAGGTTTTTGAAATATAAGAGAAAATGGGTTCGAGAGTCACGGTTGATGAAAGGAAAGGCAAAGGTTCGATTAACTCAAACCTAAGGCACCCTTTCAATCTAGTCTAAGCTAGTTGCGAGATTTAGTCAAAATTTTCCTAATCTAACCCTTAATTTTATCACGTTTGGATGTTTTCTACATGGATGCAAATCTAAATTTATAAAATATCGAAAGGGACAAAATATCAATTCAAGGGTTTAATTGATATCAATTGCATTGATTGCGAAGGCCAAAATGATTTCTTAAAGGGGTCACGAGCATGCATGAATGAAATTCAAAGAAAAGAAATGAAACTTAAATTATATATCTAGATATAAGTGACCAAAGAATAGGAATGCAACATAATGGGTACGGGAGACAAAAACTCGTGACATAACTTTCTTATACAGGAATCGATGGGGTATTTAAACTAAGAAGTTATAATCACCCATTTCCCATGTTCAAAACTAATTCTCTTAATATGAATAAGCAAATAAACTAACTTATTCTACAATTTCTTAAATGAGATGCAACTTTAAATGATATGATTAACACATATAGAGGATAGGGGATAAGATAATAGGCAATATCATGCAAATGAAAAAAGATCCTAAAAAATAAAAATATGCATGAAAATGTAATGGATATCACACAAAAATGAATCTAACGCACGAACGATCTAAGGGTCTAGCATTGGACTAATTCATTTTTAAAAATCTTTACTAGCGTTGGACTAGCAAGTAAATTGAGGGAGAAGCCACAACTAGCGTTGAACTAGTGTGGTGACGTTATGTATTCTTAATATATAGTAAGACCAATAGGCATAAATAAAAACAAATAAACATATAAGAGCACGTTGCACATAACACATAAACATAATATCTAGATGTAAAAATCCTATGAATAGCGGATAAAGCATATAACACATAAGCCACATAAACACACAAAGACCTATCATTACAGTGGAGAATCTAACTACAATCTAAAATTGAAAAATAAAGAAAATCCTTTCTACCCTATCTATTACAACAGGGGACCTAACTACAATTCTAAAAAGGGAAAAATACAATAAAACAAATCTAATTATCCTATCTATTACATTTTTGAGGTATTTAAATGTCTCTCAAATAATTATAAAAATTAACTAAATAAATATAAAAAAATTTGGATGAGCATTTAAATTAAATAAATAAAGCATATAAAAATATATAAACACATAGGAACAGGTAGGAGCACACGAGAGCACGTAATTGACATTGAAATAATAATAATAGGGGTACCTCCCTTTTAAAGTGGTGACTAAATGGAGTCGAATTACCCTATTTATACTCAAAATGAACAAAAGAATCATGACACCAATTTAATTGAAAATAATAATAATGATAAAAAATACTAAATTCACCTTAACATGTCAAATACAAAGAAATTTAAGAACCTCTAAAATTACAAGTTAAATATACTCAAAAGTAACATGATTAGCTATTAAAGAAAAGAAACAATTATAATAAGAGGTATCAAAATTCATTAGGGATTGAATTGCAAAAAATTGAAAACTTTTAGGGGCAAAAATATAATTTCTCTAAAATTTAGGGTCACAATTAAATAAAAGACAAAGTTTAGGGATCAAAATATAATTAATTTAAGGACCTGAGTGAAAG